TTCTACTTTGAACTCTTGGGGATTGTTTTTCTACCAGAGTCAAGGCAGAGATGCTCAGATCACCCTCCCCTCATATTCCTTCCTTCTTTATTAATCTTCTCGGGGAGGGGGTGATGCTCTGCACCTAGGGGTCTCTTCTTAAACCCTGGGGCTTTCGTGAGTAAACCAGGGAGCTCCTGTTCCATCTGGGAGGAGAGAAGTCAGTGGCTCTGAAACAGCAGATATCAGGTGGGATTGCTTAAGGAGAGTTTCCCTGATTGTTTTTATGTGGCCGCATGGACACTAAAGCACACCAGCTCACAATTCGGTTGCTCAAAGTGCGGTCATGTTTGCCTAAGAGGCCATCTTACCTCTGGGAATGCAATTCCTTGCAGCAGATGAGTAGGATTTGGTTAAAAGTTCATTTAATTAGGAACCTCTTTTTTTCTCTTTTTTAATTTAAATTAGAAACAATCTTGTTTTACATTTCAATCCCAGTTCCCTCTCCCTCCCACCCTTCCATGTCCCCCATCAATACCCAGTCCTATCGCCTTTCTGCTCCCCAGGGAGGGTGATCCCCAGGGAGGGGATCATCAAAGTCTGTCACATCATTTGGAGCAGGGCCTAGGCCCTCCCTCATGTGTCTAGGCTGAGAAAGTATTCCTCTATGTGGAGTGGACTCCCAAAGTCCATTCATACACTAGGGATAAATACTGATCTACTACCAGAGGTCCCATAGACTACCCAGGCATCCTGACACCCACATTCAGGGGGTCAGGAACAGTCCTATGCTGGTTTCCCAGTTATCAGTCCCCTTGTTCAGGTCAGATCAGCTGTTTCTGTGGCTTTCTCCAGCCTTAGGAACCTCTTTTTAAAAATGTTTTCGTTTTTTTTTATGTGTGTGTGTATGCGCGCGCGCGCATGTGTGCGCGTGTATCAGGGTTTTATGTAGCCCAGGCTGGCCCCACACTCCTGTTCTTCCCACTTCCATTCCCTGAACACTAGGTTTACAAGCTAGGGTCTTTAGCCTGAGCACAAGAACCTTCATTACTTTCCTTTACCTTTAGAAGAAAGCCAAGACCACCCTCGTGTGCTAAGTGCAGGTGTTTTTACCTGAGATGTACCAGTCGAGTTCCCTAGAGGAACAGAACCAATGGAACGGACATGTAGTCCAAGGGGGACTTTTTTTTAACTTGGCTCACACAATGTGGGCTGGGCAGTCCTACAGCAGCTGCATGATGGAGAGGCTGAGAAGCCAGGAACTGCTCACACCACATAACTGGAAGCCTCAACAGTCCCAGTCTAGAACTGAAGGCCTGGAAGGGTTCCTCGAGAGCCACTAGTCATTGGTCCACTTGGAAGGTAGAAGAAGCTGTGTCCCAATGTCCGTGAAGGATGACAATGGCAGCTCCAGCAGAGACACACTCTGGCAAGAAGTTAAGCAGGCAGACAGCACAGCCCGTCCTTCAGACCTCTGTATCTGGGTCTTCACCAGAAGGTGCTACCCACCCTGGAGGACACTTGGCCCATTTCAGCTAATCCCTCCTTGAAGTGCAGGCACAGACCCACACAGGAGCATATTTTTCAGTTGATTCTGCATCTAACAAGATGACAGGATTAACCAGTCCATGAGCATCTATCTCCCCCAATCTGCAGCAGGCCCTCTTTTAGCTCCAATATCTGACTCTTCTCACCGACCCACCTACCCTTTCAGCCTTGGGACAGGGTACAGGACCGGAACAGATCCACTATGGCTGGTATACGACCCTAATCTTTCACTATTACCACTGAATTGCCCTTTCGAACACTCTTGATGTCTATGGGACCGGCAGGATGAGCCTGAGAGTCCCTCGTTTCTCAGTGGACACAGCTAGCTCTCCAGGGTCCATGACGATCAGCTAGCCGTAGCTGGTAGGCCAAGTCAGCCTACAAGACTACCTAACCTACTTAGCCTCTGGGGAGTGTGTTGACTGTAGGTACATCAGAGGGAAGCAGCCATGCAGAGCCTGTGGTGTGGTAAAGATGTTCATCTCCTCCTCTGATGAAGCTGTGTGTGAGACAGTGCAGGAGCAGGGAACAAGCTGAGAAATTTGTGCCTGGTCTATGACTCGTCTAGAAAGGGATGGCCCACACTTGGTATGACCCCCACAGCTGTGGCAGGGAGAGACTGTGGTGAAGCTGGGCGTACCTTTGAGAAGAGAACCTCAAAAGTGTGTGAGACATGTCTAGGGGACCGATGGGTGAGCACTGCCTACAGACCATAGTTTTCTTCATGGGTCTGTGCCTGCAGATAACAGCTGGCACAGGCCGGACTGTCTTCAGGAGGGCACCATCTGTCTGCTCAGACATCTACTGGCTTGTTTGAGAACTCTGTGAAAGCTGTTAGGGAGCTCCCCAGTTCTACTGACAGGAACCACATGGCAGTAACGTTGACTCTGGCTGTGGTCCTGCTCTGTCCCCATGGTCATGGGGAGGAGTATCTCTGACCAGTCTATGCAGTGAAGACAGAATGGTAGACAAAGCTAATGGAGTCTTTACTTCCCTGTGCTGTACCCGGGACCCAGTGGGCTCTGCTGGTAGAGTCGGATGATCTCTCTCACTGCCTGTATGAGCCAGGCTAGGTGTTCTTCCTGGAGGGATGGGATCCCCTCATGTTAAAACTGCAGAACCAACATGCATTAAAGCAACAACAAACCTGTGTGTACCTGCTCATGTGTATATGTAACTGTTCATGTATGCACATACCTGTTCGTGTGTGCATGTGCCTGTTCATGTGTGCACGTGCCTGTGGAGGCCAGAGAGTAAACTTGACGGTCAATCCGTAGGTGCCATTTATCTATCTTGTTATGGTGAGATGGGGGGGCCTTTCTTTTGTCTGGAGCTCTGAGAGTATAGTTGTCTCTGTCTCCCAGATCTGGGATTACAAGAGCACACGACCATGCCCAGCCTTTTGAATGCGGGCTCAGGGGAAGAACTCTGATAGCCCAGACTTCTGAGGCAGGCGCTTCACTGACTGAACTGCCATCTCGCAGGGAGCCCACAATCATCTTCAGCTCTGGGCAGGATAAGCAAGTGATCTGAGTCTGCTCAAGACGGACAGAGGTTGAGTTGACCTATGCCCTGGACAGGCTGCAGACAGGCCATGTAGATTTTGCATGTAGGGTTCTTCGTTTGTGAAAGGGGGACATTCACCCTCTGCAGGGCTGTTGCCAGGGCTCCAGAGTAGATTCTTAGTCCATGTATATTTCTGCCCTTCTCTTCACTGATGATGAAGCTGCTCGCCGTGTCTTGTGCCATCGTGCACAGCTGTCTTGCTGGGCACACACAGGTCTGACTCACCCTTTTCACTGGGCACACAGCCCACCTTGCTTCTTAGTTTCTGTCACCAAGCCTCTGCCCTGCCAAACCTTGTTACAGAGCTATCTCTTTGTTTCGAGGAGTTTCTCTCTTTGGACACCCTGCCTCAGTTTCCCCACCTCCCTTAGCACTGATGCAAACATCCACCTTGCATCCATCTGAGGGCAGAGCTGATACTGTTGGGTGATATGATGTTGCCCTATTTCTGTGGCAGCCTCTCGAAATTCAGGGTTCCTGCTACGTGTCAGTCTAGACAGGACACTGGCTTCTCATGCCACCAGCCCTGTTGCCCAGATTCCTTTTTACTTGGCCACTTTAAGGGCACCTGATGTGATTCTAAGCAAGAGCAAGTGCCCCAGGGCCAGTCTGGTTACAGCAAGGAACACAAACTCTAGGCACTTGTGTAAGCACCCAGAAAGTGCTTGCCTGTGATACCCAGAGGGACACAGAACCAGGTAGGGACAGACACTGTGAGGGATCCTGGGTAGCTGGCAGGACAGGGGTGCTTGGTTCACCCTTTGTCTGTGGGAAATGGACTCAGGAAGCAGTAGGCTCATGCATTGACTGATCCCAGCGTGCAGTCAGGCAGTATTCTGGGGCTTTTCACTTACCCCTCTTCTGATCCAGCAGGAGAGCCTGTGACGCCCAGTGGAGGGCTTGTGATGGCAGAATATGCCTTGGGATGCTGAGGATTATGCCCTGTCATTTCCAGTGTCACCAACTCTGACTCATATTGCAGCCTAGTCCTCCAAGACCTGGTTCTGCTGGGCTCTCTGTTTCCTTAGTTGTCTGAGCTTGCAGTTGGAACTCTTTTGAGAATGGCCCCAGTGAGCCCTGCTGGCTATTAGCTCTACTCTGGCCCAGGGAGGTCAACAGTCACAGTTTAGGGTTGGGGTGGAATCGTTCGATCTCCCATCATGCTGCCGGTCCTACTCTCCTGACTGCTTAGGTGCTCTTACGCATGCCCAGGCCTCCAAGTCCTTTCACATCTGCAAATTTGTAGTGGAAGCATGGACCACCCCTCCCGTAACACAGGCACACCCTGTGCAAACACGCGGCTCTCTGCCTGGGGCTACTCTCTCATACTGGATTCAGAGTTTTGACACTCGTCTACCACAGACCCTGGCATTTCTCAGGGCAGAATGGGGAGGATCTTTTAGGATGTAAATTCCCATTGTGAGCCCTTGAAAGGAGATGCAGGAGTGAGGGAGGACCTCCCTGCCAGGTCAATGGCCCAGGACTTGCCAGTGTGTCCTTGGGATTGTGTACAAAGGCCACAGGAGGGGACGGACACTGGGAGCAGAGAAAGAACTGTCATTTATCTGGAGCTCATTAATTGGCTGGGGGAATTTTGAGAAGAGTGGTAGAGGCGGAGCAGAGAGAACTCTCAGCAAGCCCCTTTTAAGATGTGTCTCCTCCCAGCCTCCCTGCCTCCTCTGATCCTTCCTGATTACGGGGTGGGGGATGGGGTGGAGTGACGGGGTGGGGGATGGGCAGGGGAAGTTTTATATGGAAAACAGTGAAACCTTGCTTTTGTTGATAGCTGGAAAATCTGAGTAAAATGAGGACATACAGAGGTGGGGGTGGGGGGTCACATGAGCAGTATATTAGTTTACATAGGTGTGTTTGCAGGGACGCCCTTAGAAACAGGGTGGAGTTAACACACAGCAGGCAGCCACCAAAGGCACTCAGCAAGGGGTGGCCACCAGAGCTAAGACTCACAGGTCACTGCAAAGTTCAGGAGACCCAAGCTGGCCGCATTTAAAGGAAACCCTGGTGAGTTTTGGCACGTTTATACTTACCGTCTTTTAGGGCAGCAAAGATGGAGAGGTTGAGAAAGTAGAGGCAGAAAGAGAGAGAATGGACAGGGGCACCTGGGGTCACAGGCTGAGCTGGGCAGTAAGCTGGTGGGAAGAAGGACTGCCAAGGGAGTATCTTAGAGATCAGACAGAGACGAACCTGGCTGGAACTCAGGAAGGGCACTCTTCACGCTGTGGAAGGGGTCAGGAGCATATCTACCTGCCAGCCCACAGCATTGGTAAACAAAGGGTCCAGCCCGGAGGGGTACACAGCTCAGCGCCTGCAATTGCATCTTTGAACAGCAAAGCCGGCTTGTGGGGCCAAGGGTTGGTTGGCTTGCCTCTGATACAGGAAAGGGATCAGGAAGATAAAGCCTTGGAGAAACAAAGTGCTCTTTTAGGTAATGTTTTCATGGCTCCACCCCACCTGTTCTAAGCATCAGGGGACATTTGTCTTGCATTGTTATTTGGCAGTCCCCTCCAAGTGTGGCTTTGTTCAGAGCCCGCTTCACACCTGCAACTGTGTCACAGTCATCGTGGGTCCCAGGCGGCAGGTCACAAGGTGCAGTGCCGCAGGGAGCCCCTCAGCCTCGGCTGTGCCCCCACCTCCGTGGAACTCAACCTGTCTCTGTTCTGGAAAAACAAAAACAAGAAGAGGCAGTCCCCTAACGCTGAGGGTTATTAATCCTTTATACACGTCACATGAATAACTGTCGCAGGAAGCATGGTTCAGTCAGTGCCAACAGATCTGAGCAGGTCCTGTGTGGACCCCTGAGGGTGATGAGCTCTGAGTGGCAAGGGTCGGGGCAGTGGGAACAAAAAGGTACCCAGAGGAAAGAGGGCCAGTCAGTGGGAGACAGACTGCAAGCATCGGGGTGTGCCTCAGTGATGGAATGCTTGCCTAGCATACGTGAGACCTCGGGTTCTGTCCCCAACGTATCCACATCAACAACTCAAAGCACAGTAACAAGAAAGGAGGCATGAGGAAATAACTAGCTAGAAGAGACTGGAAGGAAGGGGGGGATTCATAGGCACAGAGCAGTCAGGCCCCAAAGCTGAGACACACGTGGAAGACTCATCCAGGAATAAGATCCAGATGGTGTGTGAAAGGCAGGACTCCTAGGATGGCAGGGACCATCTTACAGGGCTGGGGGAGAATCTCAGCTGAGGCAATTACTTAAACCTACCTCTCTGCAGGGAAACTGAGGTTACCCAGCCTCCGTAATCTGGCATTGGAGGAGCCCCTCATGCAGTGGAAGCCCAGAGGGCCACTGCGCCCAACATGAAGGCAAGACTTCTTTCCCCATCCATCCCTGGTGCTTCCTCCTGACCTGCATAACAACACAGTGGGAGCGTTCAAGAGGCCACATCTTGTCCACAGGACCAACCTGAGTCACAAACGCTTTTGTAGCTGGGTTGCTACACCCCGAGAGAGTTTCACAAAATGACAACCTTGGAAAAGATGCCCTGCACTGTCAAAACCTGCTGGCCCTCCACTGAAGGCTCAAACCCCAAAGCTTCGCATCTCGAGCAGTTGCCAAACTTGTGTTTGGGCATCCGGCTGCAGGCTGCTTTCCTCTGGATGGTTGGGAAGCGGTTCTTGGAACTAAGCCAGCTTCCTTGGCCAGCTCTGGACGGGAACACACCAGTGCTGTCTCCCCAGCAGCCTTCTGACTGATTAGCGCTGCATCTTCTCTGGTCCTCCTACACCCTATGAGCTGTATGTGCTTCCCACCTCTGTGGTTATTTAGACTCTTCCGGGCACAGGGAGCATGGGCAAGCCAAAGCAGGCGCCCCCCGGTGTGAAGAGACCCTCAAATCCCTGCTCCAGGGGTGTCAACAGAAAGGGTTAGGTCATCTTCTGCCATGTCACCCAGGGCTTGCTCTGCCTCTTTGACCGCAGGGAGTGACTCTTATAGGACTGTCTGTGCCAGAAATGGGGCTTTGCAGGCTCTTTCCATACCCAGCAACAATGCTCCCTTCAGCTGCCTGCAGCCCCGTTTCCAGCCCGAGAGGAGAAAGATGGAGAAACATACTTGAGAGAGAGGTAGTGATTTTTCCAGAATGAACTTGACGGTGACAGAATACCTGACAGAGCAGCATGATTGATGATTGATTGATGATTGATTGATTGGTGCTTCCTTGAGGGGAAAACACTAAAAGCATAGAGACACTGGTGTCATTGGCCAATGAACTTGAACTCAATGAATATAGATGCTGTATGGCACCACTTTAGAAATGACACAGGCAGGGGCTAACCAGCATGACTAACCTGGGAACTCACAGTGGATTCCACAGACAGTTAGAGAGGTATTGAGGCACCAAGAGAGACTGAAAATTGCAGGTAAACAAGATTTTTCTAGTCCTGTTCTCACACCTAGAGATGATAACTTCCATTACTGTGTGTATAAAGGTCCTTTTCTCTTGGGTAGCCACAGCAGAGAAGACTAGAAAATCACTTTAGGTGTGAGCCTGTGAAGCTGAGAATTATTTTCCACAAAGATCATAGAGATCCCTCTTCCCAGGTATTAGATGGGTTTCCCCTGTGCTCTACTGAGTTTTTGCTGAGTAAGGAATTTCTTAGTTTGGTTCTTGGTTTAGGAGCTTCAGAACACATTGACAGGGAGGGTGTGGCTGAGAACAGCTCACATCTTGGTAGACCAGAAGGAGAGAAAAACAATGCCTACACTTCTGTGTCTTTCATCTTTTATTGCATTCTGGCCCAAGCTTATGGGATGGCTTCACACACTTTTGAGTTTTCACATGCCCAGGTGTTCTTTACCAATCTCCTAAGCAGGCCTCATTCCAATAAGTACATATCAAAATGAACCTTCACACATACAGATGATGGGATCTTGATGCCATTGGGGTCCCTGTCCTGTTCTTCCTGAGGCTAGCTATGAGCATACTTTGCATCCACACAGCATTATCACTAAGCTCCTTCAAGAGACAGATTTCAAGGCAGGTTAGGGGAAGTAGGAGATGGGAATGGACCAACTGTTTTGTCAGACGATTGTTAACTATCTAAAGAATGATGGGAGTATGTTAAAAAAGATAGAAGCCAGCTCGGCCTGACTGAATGAACACAGATGAGGGGTTAAACAAATATCAAGAGCAGTGTATTATAACTCACCAAATAAAACAGGAAACTACATGTCAATAAATGAATAAGCTGAACATATGAGAAAGAGTGAGATATTTAAAGTATATTCTAGCTGGGAGAAAAGGTGAGAAATCCCCATAAAAGACCAAAGAAAGGGGTATCCAAATGGGAACAAGTTGACATTGTTCAAGCTTCAAGCTTGGGGGGGCTGCAGGGAGAGCATACCCTCACTTCTGTGGTGCGTGGGCTGAAAGTGTACAAGCATCCACCAGACACACCCCAAAGGAAGCAGTCAACATAGGAGCCAGCCTGTTCCATCCAAATGTCTCAGCGTTTTTTGCTAAAAGCCATGGAATATCAAGAACCAGAATCAAGTGGAAGGGGCTAGAGACAGGGCATATGTGGGCAGGTGATTTTGGGGGAGATTTCTCCAAAATAATAATGATAATAATAATAATAATAATAATAATAATAATAATAATAAGGCTGCATTCATCTTTAAAACCCCAGTCTGGGAGTTGGAGAGATGGCTCAGAGGTTAGGAGCACTTGCTGCTCTTCCAGAAGTCCTGAGTTCAGTTCCCAACTTCTTTTGGTCTCCGAAGGTACTTCTCGTGCATGCAGGCACATGTGGACACGCATGCACACACATTAAAGACAAAACAACCAAAGCTCCACCAAATTCCACTAGGGCTTGGTAACCTGAGGTGGAAGGTGTTGCCATTTGCATGCTGACTCTGGTGACCTAACCAGTATAACAAGGACATCCCTGCAGGTGAAAAATAGCACATCCTGGTGGCAGGACTTTGGGTAGCTATGCTGGGGCAAATGGCTCAGGGAAAGAGTCCTATGCTCTTACTAGAAACTTTTCTGTAGGTTTGTGATGATTTTAAAATGAAACGGAAGAATGAAAAAAAAAAAAGGAGGAGATGTCTCGCTTGCTCAGTTTATCTCTCTGGTGTCCCAGGGGCATGTCAAGCATAAATGAAAAGGGAAATGTTTTGGTCTACCGGCATGTAGCTCAAATCATCTTATGGGTCAACTAAGGTGCGCATTCTTGGCTGGCCTTCAGAGTTTAGGTATTTGTAAGCCGAATTCCTTTAACTGTTTTGAAGCTAAAAATCTATATATTGTAGTTTTAAGGGTTTGAATGCACAAGGCTTTAGAACATTGTCCAAGTTGAGAAAATGAGCCTTAGGTCTGACCCAAGGCACTCAGTAGCTCATTAGGTTTCCTGAGCTTTGATACATTCTCACGGTGGAAGATTTCAGCCTCTGTGAGAGCAGAAGATGTTCTCTTCTGGGTCAGACTTCACACTGAAGTGGAAGCAAGAAAAAGGAGGCTCCGCTCCTTTCAGGAACTTTCCCCCCTTCCCCCATCTGCTTAAAAACATCTGGGAATGAAAATTCCAATTGTCAGAGGCAATAAATACTAGGAATAAAGGTGTGTGCACACGTATGTGTGTGCACCTGTGCCAGTGTCCTCGTGTATTACTCTCTTCCTTATTCCCTTGAGAAAGGGTCTTTCCCTGAACCTGGAGATTAGTTTTCATGTTTTTTTAATGTTCTTTTGTTTCTTTTTGAGACAGAGTTTCTCTGTGTAACAGCCCTAACTGTCCTGGAACTAGCTCTGTAAACCAGACTAGCCTTGAACTCTCAGAGATCGGCCTGTCTCTGCATCCTGAGTGTTGGGATTAAAGGTTTTTTAAAAAGCTTTTTTAAAAAAAAAATCACCTCTCCATGCCTCCCCTGGTCACTGAGCACTGAGTGAGTTGTCTTCTCCACACATGCATGCACATGCATGCTTGTACATGCTCTCTCTCTCTCTCTCTCTCTCTCTCTCTCTCTCTCTCTCTCTCTCTCTCTCTCTCTCTTTCTCTCTCTCTCTCTCACACACACACACATACCATCTCCACCAAGCACTAGGGTTAAAGCTCACATGGCCATTGGATTTTAAGAGGGTGCCAGGATTGCACACTCGGGCCCTCATGCTTGCATAACGAGTGCTCTTAGCCATGAGTCATCTGCCCAGCTCAAGTGAAACTTACTCTTAACTGACACCTAAAACACAACAACGATAACCAGAAGGGCACCACATGACCTTTTGATGCATTTTCATGCTGTATTGTTTTAAATCAAGGTAAGCTTCTACTCCCTCGCTTGTCATTTCTTCATAGTGAGACCCTTCAGATTCTCTTCTTCTAGTGGTGTGCACGCATGGGGCATGGTGGTCACCTGCAGTCATCTTACTCCCGCTGATCAGCCTCCCTTCACGCCTTCCTCCCCCACCCAACTCCCCAGCATCTTGTAACCACCCTTCTGCCCTCAACTTTGTGTGTGCGCGTGTGCGTGTAGTTGGAGTGGCCTCATTTGAGTGCCCGCTCTGACTTCCCTCAGTGATTTGGAACTGTAAGCCGAAATAAACTCTTTTCTTGCCATATTGATTTTGGTCATGGTGTTTCATCACAGTGATAGAACCTGTATGAAAAGACAGCAGTCCATAATGCATTTGTCACTCATTCATCAGGTGGTGGACACTCAGGCCATGCCTGTGTTTTTATTATTGGGGGCAGTGTTGTAATGAGCATGGGGTGCAGATACCTCTTTGATATTCATTTTATCTCCTTTGGACATATACCTTGTGGTGGGACTTTTGGGTCTTTTTGTAAAAATTGGGGTTCCTCCATCCTGCTTCCAATAGTGGTTGCACCAGTTTTTAGCCCCCCAACAGCAGGCAAGCATTTCTGTATCTTTGTCTACCTGCCAGATCCTGTTATCACCTTGTCTAGATTCTGGTCACCTCAGTGGAGTGAGGTGAAATCTCATTCTGTCCTGGGCTTGCATTCTCATGGTAATTAGTAATCTGAACATTTTCTATGTGCCTGGTGGGCAATTGCATGCCTCCTTTGGAGAAGCATGTGCACTTGGTTGTTGTTTGCTTGGTGTAACTCAGGACTTTGCCATGCTAGGTAAGTGCTTTCCCACTGATCTTCATGGCCAGCTCTCTCCCAAATGTACTTGTGAGGGAGGGCCTATTCTTGGGCTATCTACCACAAAGCCAGATCAATCACATAGCTTCATGGTAAGTCAGGGAGCTATGAAGCGTGAGTGTCCAACACTCATCCACTTAAAGACAATTTTAGCAACATGTGGACCCTTTGCCCTTCCATGAAGTTCAGTAATTAGCATACCAGGGTTTTGATTAGCGCCACATTGAACCTCTAGATCAATCTGGGGATGACTGAGCCACACCCCAGCCCTGACACATGTTTCACACTTGTTTTCTAATCCTCTTTCAATGAGTTGCTTTTCCGTGTTATCGGGCAGGAGTCAGACAAATGCAGTTTTGCATGGAACCTCTGGTCACTCACAACTACCTCCTCTCTGGGCCTCAATCTCCTCATTACAAAAGTGAGATGAGGGTTGCTGTGAAGATTACAAGGAAGAATGTGGGTAGGATCCTCACAGGATGAGTGGAAGCAAGACAAGTACTCACACCCAAGTGTTTGTGTCACTAGCATTAGCTAACAAAGTCCTATGTTCCTTAAAGAGCTCCATGTCACAAGAGTTTGAGTTGTTACAGAGGTGGGAGGAGGAGGAGCAGCCTATCTGGGCCCCTGTCGGGTACCCCTGACATGGCACCTGCTCCTTGAATCATGATTGGCACCCAGCAAGAACAGAAGGTCCATTTACTACAGATGACAGACAACCTGGCCCTCCAAGAGACTCAGTCACCTTCAGAGAGTAGGCATGAGAAGCAGTTCCAAGATGGAGCTGTTTGGACCGTCCAGCTGGGGCAGCCTCTAAGGAAGGGGTCTGGTATTGCAGTAACTCAGGGGGATGTCCTGTCCAGCAGGAAGCACCCCATCCTGCCTGGCCACTGGAGGATGAGGCCTCTTCCTGGGCTGCAATGCAAAGACTTTGCAATGCTTTGTCACCAGGTCAGCTGCTTGAAGATCTCCAGATATATTCACAGTAACTCAACATTTCCATTCTACTCTGCAGGCTGAGAGCAGGGTCTAGCCCGTCACAGCCCTGGCTCTTCAAGGGGTAGCGGTTTGAATGGGGAGGCTTCAGACAGGAGGTGATGGCATACTAACATGGGAATGGGCTCCAGAGGGCACAGCTGTGGTATGGGCTGCTGAGTGGAGCCATGTGGGAGACACCTGATGTTTCCCACTCAGCAGCCGAGAGGAGTTCTGGGTAGCTGGGACAATGCCCTGGACCTGTTCTCGTTTGTTCTATTGTGAACCATCAAACAGGTTCCTGGCCAAAACAGGGAGGCATTAAATAGGACTCAGCCAAATAGGCATACCTTACCAAGACAGTCCTTTCTAGAGGTGGGGAACAGAAATGGTTTCAAGGATATGGCCTCTGCCTTTGGGTACTGAACTTATTTTCTTAGAGAACACTGAATGTTCACCTTTGTTTCTTTTTTGTTTGTTTGTTGGTATTTTGGTTTTTCAAGACAGGGTTTCTCTGTGTAGCTTTGGAGCCTTTTCCTGGAACTCACTCTGTAGACCAAGCTGGCCTTGAACTCACAGAGATCTGGCTACCTCTGCTACCTCTGCCTCCCGAGTGCTGGGATCAAAGGCGTAAGCCACTGCCTCCTGGCCCTTTGTTTCTTACACACACACACACACACACACACACACACACACACACACACACACACACGGGGAGGGAGGGAGGGAGGGAGGGAGAGAGAGAGAGACAGAGAGAGAGAGAGAGAGAGAGAGAGAGAGAGAGAGAGAGAGAGAGAGAGAGAGAGAGAGAGAGAGAGAGAGAGAGAGAGAGGAGACACTTTTGGGAATTAGTTCTCTCTCTCTGAATCCAACTCAGATCATCAGGCCTGGCCCCCAGCCCCTCTGCCCTCCGCTCTATCTTGTTGTTGTTGTTGAGACAAGATGAGGCTTCAGGAACTCGGAGGCATGTGCTCCAGCAAGGGGCAGAACCATCTGGAGCGCTCGGGCTGGGAGTACACTTATTGCCTTTTTAAAAATTAGTTTGTGTCTTCCTCCTTGGCAAGTGCAAGATTTGATCAATGAGGGTCTGCTGTAGCCAGAGCATTTCTTGCAGAGAGAGTCCAATCCTCTGCTGCCCATGCCTGCAAGGTGAGAAGCCGAGCGGTCCCCGCTTGTGGACATCCTGGGCTGGCCGCACGAGGGCAGGTCTCTGCTTTGCTCCAGGACAGTGCTGGGCTCTGGACAAAGACCGCTAAGAGCGTTCCCTGCGGAGGGGTTGGCCTGGACCTGGGCGTGCAGTGGCGCGCAGGCGCTTTGGCATCTCATTCTGAAGCTAGGGCGGACTGCTACCCAGCAAATCGCACTCGGCCTTTCGTAAAAGGAAGCTAGAAGGCTTGGGGCAGCATGAACAGGATGACCAGGCCGGCCCCGAGGCACCAGATCCCTCTCTGACCCTGAGGCCTCAGACGTCCCTGCCAGAAACTGGAGGACACTCCTTATGCATGCAGACCCTCCCTGCTGACTCAAGCCTCCCTTCCCCCTGGGACCACAGACTGGTCTTTGTGGCCACAGAACCGCCCCCTCTCTAGCCAGACCCAGATCCACCCTTGAGACCACAGACCACACCTCCGGGCCACAGACCCCGCCCCCAGGCCTCAGGACCACTCCCCTGCTGGGAGGCCACAGACACCCCAGGAGGCCGCATGACCCCCCACCCAGTTCTCACACAACTCCGTGCAGACACAGACCTCTCCCACAGCCCGGAAAGCAGGTGTGCTCCTCAGGAGCCCACTGAGCAAGATCTGCCCGCCCGGAGTAAAGTACAAGGCTGTTTAAACAAACCATCCCCTTTGTTGAAATTTTTCTCCAGACCGATGCTCTTTTGCCTACGTGAGACTCTGACCCCCGAATCCTCGGGACTCTCGGGGGCCTCAGAAAGTAGACTCTGCAAGTGCTAGCGCCGGTGGGAGAAAGTGCTTACAGCTGTCCCTCCACGCTGGTCACTGTAACCCTCTTTAGTAGTCCAGGAGAACCCGAGATCACTTGGAGGGTGGAGGCCGCTGGGGGAGGCGTCACAGTGATTCGACTTTAAAAGTAAAAGTCCGGGTCATTTCATGCTTGATTTTACTAAATGGGGCAATGCAATGGACGCATTTTTACACGGAATCTTAACAATGAGCACCTAGATAAGAATGTAGATTTTGATAATGATGATGGCGATGGCGATAGAGAAGTTTGCTAACCCCACCATGGCGATAAAGGGCTGCTCCCTCACCTGTGACAAAAAACTTATCAGTGACTGGCACTGCTCCGCGCTGTAGAACACTGTCTTGATAGGGTCTCCAGGACTTTGTATAAGAGTTCCAGTAGAATCCAGCCTAAAGGCACTTTCCCTCACTTCTGGGAGATGCGGTACAGGGCCGTTTAATTGTTCCCTTTCCAGAGTGTGACTTCTGTTTCGGAGGCATCGACAAAGAAAGGGCAAGCTTGACAAATCAACACCGAAGTTCAGAAGTTCAGAGTAATTTGTCTTGGGAACAAAGTCTTCCCTGAAGCTACAGGCATTCAAAGGAACCCCCGGTGCTCATGAGATTATTAAAGATATACCTGAGACCAGATCAATGTTTGATCATTTTGAAAAGCACTAGGACCTCTTTTGGCTTTTCTTCTGCTGACATTTCCCCCATGGGGTCTAGACTTTGCAAAGGAAGGGAGGCTGAAGGCTCCCAAGAGTGTGTTTGTGCAGAAAACAACAACCCAGAGAGGGTTACGGGAGGGCGTGTGCGCCAATACAAGCGTGCTTGTCTGCGCTGTGGTGGGAGGGAGGAGGGGAGAGAGAGATGAGGGTTGCAAAACTGCCACCTAGAGGCGCCTTCCCGCAGTGTATATAAAAGGCAAGTCCGAAGCCTGAGAGATCTTAGTTGCTACAAACTGCTCGGCGCTGAAGGAGCCTGCCGTGCTCACAGCCAGGAAAGCAACCCACAGCCCAGACAGCCTGAGGTAAGAAACCCATGCTTCTGCGCCAGCTTCGCCAAGCAACGACAGCAAGGGGCAGGAGTCCTGCTCTTACGGGAACTGGGCTTTTTCAGAGAACTCTTGGATCTCTGAGCTGGGAGCTTTTGAGCCAGCATGCCTGGTTTTGAAAACTCAGGGTGACTGCATGCTGAATTCCTGCATTGCAAACTACTCCTGATTTGGGGGATGCAGGTTCAGTCACTGGTGGAGGGAAGTTTCCGTGTGTATTTGTTTGCTACTGGACTCTGATTTGTTGCTGTGAGTACTTGAGTTCCAGGAGGCAGAGGAACTTTGGAGAGAATGGGGAATGCCCCATTCAGCTTGCCCGAAGCTGACTTAGGGGTAAGTTTGGTACCACTGTTGACCTGTTCCGTTTGGGATTATCAGATTGCAAGTACATAGAACTGGCTGTAAAAACAAAAACATACTTTCAGAAAGGCGTATGCTGTATTCAGAGG